CTGTTTTGAGACATCTGACCTCTCTCGGCTTTCAGCTGCTGTAATTCTCGTTTCTGCGGCTCCAGCCCTGACGTCCGAGGACCAGACTGTGCTAGTTTCTGTCTGAGTCCGCATCTGAGCACCAGCAGCACGAAAGCTTCGTCCCTAATTAACCAACAAGCTCATAAGAAATGAATTCACACCCTTACAATGTCGAAGTGCACTAAAAACCAATGCTCCAATCTAAGCCACACTTCTGTTTCACTAGTGATTCAGAGATTCACGGGGAAATACAATAGTGAGTTGGTGCTCCCCAGGATACTTGCCAACACAGATTACGAGTTGTTTTGTGCACCGTAGAAGGCTTTGATAAAATGTGTGCACATATGAATGTCTTACTTCGGGTGATGCACGAAACGTGACAAAAAGGGAGAGGATAGGAGGAAAGAGATTAAGGCAATTCAGAAAAAAATTTAGACAAGCCAATTAATGCAAAAAAGTTGTCTTTGTATGTGCACTTTAAATGCATGCAGAAATAAATTCATTTAAGAGCTCGTGATGCACAGATGTGTGTTACTCACTCTTTGCCATAAGGAACAAATATAGACGTCTATATGACGATATAGAAACCCAGGCAGTGGTCCCCTCACCTGCGGGTTTCTGGGAAGGTGTGGCCCCCAGCTCCAGCGCCGTGGTCAGTGCCCCCGAGTTCAGCCCCTCTGCCCCGTGCCTCCAGCCCTCTCGCTGCGCCCGTGACAACGCAGCGACTGCACTGCACCGGCTCCTCTGCAGCCAGTTCCTGTTCACGCAGAAAAAAAAAAGAAGAAGTGAAAAAAAAGCTTCCTCCACTCATTGGCAAACAGGAGGCAGAGCACCACAGCAAGAGCTTTCTTAGAAGCACCGGGGCTCGCCTCAGGCGAAGGCTGCCCAGTGGTCAGAGCTTCAGGGACCGTCGGCCGAAGAGGGAAATATTCTGTTCCCAGCACTGCGATTCCCCACAGACAGGACTCCAGACGCTCACATCCAGCAGCAACCTGAACGGGTTCTTGGCTCCGTGTCTCCCGGTGAGATTTCCCTGCAGATATGGCTTCCTTTATTTTGTTGCCCGGAGCGCGGCAAAGTCTAGCTCAGGCTATTCCTTCTTGCATTCTGCAGGATTTGTCCCGTTTATCATGGGGCAAGAATCCGAGGTTAGGAGTGACTCCTCCTAGTTAAGTCCATCTGGAATCCTTTTTGGGGATTTTGCTCCATAACGGAATTTCCCTGGCTGCCTGCCCGGGCTGGACAGAAGGAGCTGGGCGCTTTCCAGAGCCCGACGCCTCCTGCTCCCTCAGCGCCGTTCCCCTGAGGGCGAGCAGCTCACCAAACACACACACAAAACAGGACTGTCCAGCTGGGATTTGGGAAGCTGGCTCCTCTTCCCCGCCTGTCTTTAGTTCCAAGGGGTCGGACTCGGAGCTGTTTGCCCGCTGGGAATGCAGGTCTTGGACAGCCTGGCAGAGGCAGGAGTCAGAACACGGGGCATCGGAGAGCTCCCGCTCCCAGTGCAGACCCTCACCTCATCTCTAAATCCAGGCAAGGCCTGTGCCCTCAGACGACTCCACGGGCCTCTGGACATGTCCCAGCGCTGAGCCCTGGGTATCAGACGCTTCAGGCCTATAGAGCAACACTGATCCTTAACACCTGGAAATAATACCGCAATCAAGCTAGGGGAAAGGATGCTCAACCCTAACACTTGTGAGGCTAACTGAGGCTTAGTTGGAGCAGCTTATCCCTCCTCCGCAGGTCTTAATTGGCTCATTGGATTTGAAAGAGACCTTCGGACCCTGCTGGACTGCCTGTGGCCCCATGAGGCTGCAGACAATGAGGCCCCTGAGTTCCGATGTGAAAGAAACTGTAGCTGGACTTCTGTCAGTCTCAGAGCAATCTCTTCAACACACTGCACACACACAACAAATATCACACACTCAACAAGCACCGCACAAACTCAACAAGCACCACACACACTCAACAAGCACCACACACGCAACAAATGTCACACACACACGCACCACAAACCTCACACATACGCACTACAGCTCATGGAGTTCAGAAGAAGACCAGAGTTGCTCATTCTTCCTGGCAATAAGTGGCTTACAGGTCTTCTAATGAATTAAGTCATGTCAGATACTGCAAATATCTGAAAAGGGCAGGCAAACCTGCTGTCAACAAAACCACTCAATAAGTAACCACTGTTTCTGTTATGACTGTCTGTGCTCATATTATACACTGCAAACTACTGATGAGGCAGAATAAAACAAGTGAACTTCATATTACAATATCTTTTACATAACAGGTCTGTGGGTCTGTGCAACAAGGCCTCTGTTGTAGAAGAGAACACGGCAGCTCATTGTAAAACCTGGAGCGGATTAGACAGCTGGGAATCTGACTGACAGATGGTAAAACCTGGAGCGGATCGCACTGCTGTGCCTGATTAACTTGCTTCAATTTAGAGGCTGTGTTTGATTTTCGCCATTCCCTCCAGCACAACGTTGCCAAGCTCTCCTCCTGGTCTCTATATCCGACAGGGAAGAACCAGTGGAGAGGGCAGCCAAATTGAAGGATTTGGGGACTGTTCCGGACAGCAAGTTATATTTTGGGGCAAACATTCATTCTATTTTCAAAACAGGGCGACAGTGTCCATTTTCCTTGAAGGATGAACAGGAAGCTTAAACATTTTAAAGCTAACAGTTAGCTGTTGATCGGTCTTTTATGGCATCTGTGTTGACTCTTGCCCTGGTTGGCTGCTCTGACAGTGAGCGCAGGCTGGAGAGTACGCCCCTGCTGCTGGTCTTTCAGCCCTTCGCCACCAGGCTCCTCCCAGAGGACTGGTTCACGACCCCCTACTCCCCTCAGAGCGCAGGTACACATTTCCCCATTTAAGAACAAACAGGTTCAAGTTTTCACTTATACCTGTGGCTATAACCTTGCTCCACAGATTGTCTTGTTCATGTTTATGTGTATCGCTTTAGTATTTTCTCTTTATATTGTCTGCTGCTGTAGAACAAGTTGCCCCTGGGGGATAATGAAGATGCTCTCTCTCCTCTGCTTTGTCATTTGGGACCAGTAGGGGGCGCTCACCCTGCGGTCTGTGTGGGTCCTAATGCCCCACTATAGTGATGGGGACACTGTGCTATAAAAAAGGCACCATCCTTTGGATGAGATGTAAAACCGAGGTCCTGACTCTTTGTGGTCATTAAAAATCCCAGGGCGTTTCTCGAAAGGAGTAGGGATGTTACCCCGGTGTCCTGGCCAAATTTCCCCCTGGCCTTTACCAGTCACCCCCCTCTCTGAACTGGCTCCATCACTCTGCTCTCCTCCCCACTGAGAGCTGGTGTGTGGGGAGCAGACTGGTGCATCATCCAGGTGGGGGTACACACTGGTGGGGTTGGAGGGGATCCCCATTACATGTAAAGCGCTTTGAGTGGAGTGTCCAGAAAAGCGCTATATAAGTGTTAGGAATCTGTATTAATTATTATTATTGAATTAATTGCTCTCAGCTAAGTGAATCGCCTCTGTGTGTCTCCTGCTGGGGTGTGTGGGTCAAGGAGCTGGTGCACATGTCGGGAATTCATCTCAGTCTTTTTTACTGTCTGTACACACACTCAAATAGATTTACTGAACACAAACACAACTGGTCCTAACACTTGTAGAGCGTTAAAGATAAGATGCTTTGATATGATGTTAACTGGCTTAGAGAGAAAAACACTATTTTTGGCCGTTTTCATCACTTCACATCGCTGTAGGAAGGCAGCTGTTTTTACCTCGTGTTTTAAATAGCTGTGACGGTATGCTTGGGCCCAGAGTAACACAGGACCGTGTTTACAGTTTGTTTGCTGGTTAAATGGTTAACACTTCTTCAGGCTGCAAAGCTCGCTGCGCAGACACATCGACAGTTTCTTGAAACAGAACCACCTTAATGTTAATTTACACGCAGATCATCACAAGTAAAACCCTGTTAGTGCCCAGTCAAGAGCAGTGGATCAGCACTCTACCATATTAACCCCTCTCTCTCAGTGCAGTGTTAATGTACTGGAGTGTCCAGTCAG